GGAATATGCAAATTAATAGCTCAAGTAAAATTAAAGTATACAAAAGTACAAGAATTGTTCACGCATAATTCATTTTTGATATAGAAAATTAAACTTAAAGCAAAAAGTAAGCACTCAAATTTTCAGGTTATGCTAATGTCCAGAAAAGGCATTTGAATGATTGAAACTGGACTCTCTTCATTCATTAATTTGCATACTGTAAATCTAAAGTATGAGAAATATTGATAGTGAAGGGATATTATATAACAGTCTGATAACGTCAAGTCTGTATTTCAAGTAATAATTGATCAAAAGTGATCCATAAAGCTGAATATGCTTGGTGATAATGCAGAAGAAGTCTTTTCGGCAGGATTTTACTTCTGAAGAAATTTCAATATACAATATGCTTGATTAAGGAAGTCAATAATTGCATTAATGGAAAGAATATGCAATGAATAAGTATGAATTTGAATATTTCAGTGCGATAATGTGTGCTTTCACACGTTTCGGTACTGCAAGTATTATTTTTGCACCATTACAAGCTTGCATCGATGAGATACATTTCACTTTCATAGAGACCGCGTGGTAAATCATTCTCTTCCGTGTGTGACATAACGAGTTGGTTTGATGAGAGATTGCGTGACTTACGATCATCATCTATCTCTCTGTAGCGCAGTATTGTACTTGTTAGACTTATTACTAATTATTCGTGAAATGACGAGACAGGGCGTGCTTCTTCTTCATTTTCTTTTGTTTATGACTTAGATGAATTTGTGATTCCTTGTGATCAATCAGAATTTTCTTGCACAAAAAGTAGAAAATAAGAGTAACTTCGATCATTGCGGTGTAGCTAATTTAATCTTATTATTATTCAAATAAATTTGCTATATTTTTTGTTTGAATAAGACTAACAGTTTTGCAGTGCTTTTATACGTTTCATTTTCACTTACTTTCTTGCGCTTTGAAGCAGTTTATTTTCTGATGAGAAGTAACTATTTACTTTACGCTCACAAGTTTATTCGTCACTATCATCTCTCATATAATAGTATTGCATGCATTTGTATGAGTGATCTAACAGACATTGATATACTGACTTTCGTTACATACTGCAGGTCAAAGCTCAAGGCCAAAAATGTTGAATCGTTGTTGTGTTTTGTGCCAAATTTTCGTTTATATTTTGCATTGAATTCAGTTGTATTTTAAGTCTCAAATAAAGGAAGTCAGTGCATTAATTACACGTAAAATCTTCTTTCTAATCAAAAACTTCCACTTCCTTCAACTTATTTTCACTATTCCCTTCTGTATTCCATTCTTGAGATTAGTTGTTTTGGCATAATTTCTTTAGCAAATGAAAATCTATGAGAGAAATTGCTTTGTGATATATTTTTGCCAATTATGCAATTTCATCTTTTCCTTCACATTTCACGAATTAGGTTTACCTGTAACGCCGTATTTTATCACTTTCTGTCGAAGATCATTTATGAGGTGCACTGGATGGATTATTTGCTGTCCGATCGATTCTTCGTGGGTCGATAATTGCTGGTGGTATGCAACAAAATTTTCGGTAAACCACTCGTTGAAATAGTAAATTATATTGTGTGACATGTTACCTATAAATTACTTCCTTGTTTAAATTTTTGAAAGTTGGTCGGTTGGATTAATTCGTCCTTTATGATATTTTTTCTATGGAAATATTTTCATTTATTTACAGTATTTAATCTGAGCAGTTAAAAAAACAACAATCATTTCGTGGTGGAACATTGCTTCGAGTACTATGCAAAGCTTGCGTCAGTTTTCAATTTTTGTGCACTTTTTTTGGAATGAAGATTCTTTTAAAGATGTAGTTTATTTCGTACATATCATGCTAAATTTTCAATCTTTCAGGCAAACTAGTTAACAAACCTCGGGCAGATGATTGGAGTCCATTGGCTAAGTTTTATTATGCAGACGAAGCACTGAATGCAATAGCTAGTGAACTTGATTCATTTGATGGACGTCGTGACCCTGAACGTTGTAATCAGTTAGTCAACAAGCTCAGACAGTCACAAGATCGCTTGCTTCACATAATTTGTAATTTTATTTATTTTTGTGTACTTTTTAAAATTGTTAGGATGAAAAATTTACTCTCAGATGTCTCATGAAATCATGAGAGAGTTGTTTAAACATACTTTTTTTTTGAAATTTAGAATTTCTTATTTTTTAAATACTAAAAGGAAACTGAGTAAATGTTACAAATTCAGAATTTAAATATCCATCTATGGTATCATATAAAAGTTGTTTTCTGGGAAGTCGAAATTCTTGGAATTTAAATTTTACAATCTATCATCCAAAATCCTTTAATTTTTTCACTGCAGCTGAAATGATTCAGCAAGTATTTCCTCGAGAGTCAGATCGTGCTTGTCGTGATTATCGTGTAAAGTTTCCAGAAGAAATCATACATGACAATTTACCTGGGCAGCTGTGGTTTGGTGCTGAAGTGAGTCAAGTTTTTTATATGGGTAATTAAACTTTTTTGATAAATTCCTTATCATGATTTTATGAAATTTCTTGCTAACAAATATAAAAATTGAAGCTAATTGCCCGAAGGAATTTTTGACTGGAAAAATTGTTTCAGTGCCTTACTGCCGGATCTAACATAATGGATCATGAGGTTGAGTCAGAAGCTATAAGACCAATGGCTCACGCATTAACCAAACATTTAGATACTTTGCGTGATTTGCTGAAAGATCAGTCACTCAGGGATCCATCTCATTACAGTGATAAAGTCAAAAAGAGTTTAAAACGCTTTGATTATCTTTTTGCAGAATTCGAACTAAAGTTAGTTTTACTTTTAAAATTAATATAAGCATAATATTCTTATTGTTATTTTCCTTGAAAAACCTTAGTTTTAGTATGGCTTGATATATTTCTACTTTTAGGGCAGTATCAGCTATCCTTAGAGTTTACACAATATTTTTCAGTTATGTGAGTGCAATGGTTCCCGTCAAAAGTGTGAAAGAATACGATTCTTTGTTAGATATTGCTGTTTTATTTTCAGAAACCCTGGATAGGTTCGTCAGTAAAATTATTCTGTTCAGTAGTTTTTGGGAGTATTTTTAAAGTTTTTGTGATTTTATTTTTTTTAGAATTGAAATAATCGCTTCCAGTTCCAAGTCTTAATTGTCATCATCCTGATAATGTATCTGTCGATTTTTATTGTCTTGTTTTTCGATTAGATTCACTTGCAGAGCTCGCAAGCTTGGTTATTTAACTCACGACCAAATCGATGATTGTGATCCTGTTGTGATGATCGCTGTACCACGCCTAGCTATTGTTTGGTGAATGGTTTTCTTAGCTTGCTTAATTATACTTGAACTTGCATGTAGTTTTAGATTTTATTTAGTATTCCAAGTAACTGATAATTAGAACAAATTATTTGCAGCGGATTATTATATTTTCCTGAAGGAGCGTTGAATGTCGATGCAGATCCTGAAACAATGTCTGATATGTTTCGTTCCTTTCACAGTCTGTTGATAAAAATACGCGACTTATTGCAAATACTGGACTTGCGTGAACTGCAGCGAGTCGAAAAAGCGCTGTGTACTGGTGAAACACAATTTAAATTTGGTGAGAATTTAATTGCTCTTGAGATGATTTTGTTAATGTTGGGCTACATTTTGTAATCACTTTATATCACTTTAAATATTTATTGTTACTGGCTACCAATTTTAGATGAAGAAGGTGACAGTAAGACATTGACTGTATCAAGCTTCAATTTGAAAATATCAGCAAAAGAAGAAGCTAAGAGAATTTTGGCTACATCTTTATCACAGTGAGAGTTTTATACCATTTTTAGTGAGAAAGAAAATGAGAGGAAGGTGTTGTTAATTATGCATCGTATTGGAAATAATCAAGCTTCACTGAAACGAAACAGTCATTCTTGACTCATAGTGAAGGCAGTAATTTTGTTTCACATTCAGTACCATTTTCTTTATTTTTAAAACAGGTTTGGAAAATATTTCGATCAAAACATACTGATATTTGTTACTCATTGAGGTTTTTGGAAATCTTGATATTGGCATATAAATTATGATTCCTGACTGAGATGAGACACACTAAAGTTTATCATTCTATATTAGTCTGACTTTAATCGTGTGCAGTAATTCTCGAGAATTTTTTCACGACTTTATGGATCTTAGTTTTTATCTTTTTTATTCTCATATTTAATATATGGGCAGAAATGTTGTTCGACCCGCATTACTGAAAGTTACAATGCAATTTATTTATGCCTGAATGAAAATCTTTTTATATTTTCATTTTTATTAAAAGGAAATTGCTTTTCCAGACAGAGTACCTGTTCAAGCTTAAATTCGTTATCAGACGATGACGATCATGCATCTGGTGCTTCTGGTGTAAACCATGCAAATGCTTCGTCTTATCGAATTTTGTCTCCAGCTTATCATAAGACATCTATGAAAGACAGAGAGACTTTGAAGATAGAACTTTCAAGGTAAGTTGGAATTTTCATTCTTATTTACTTTTTTTTTAGTTTGTCATATTTTCTTGTCTGATGTATTTTATTTTGGAAATATTTAATTCTTTTCTTCAGTTATCTTGTTTTCATGAGAGTTTTTGTATGAATTTGTCAAAGGATATGAGGGATAGATTTTCTGCAGCACAACTTGTCCTCCCGACCCTTGTCTTCTTCGAGCTCGATTCCGCTCTTCTGCAGATTTAATTCATCGTTTATTTGTATGTATTAGTGGTGTCGCAGATCAGCTGCAAACAAATTATCCAACTGATTTACGTCGTGTACTTAAAATGGTCTTGCAACCTAACGATATGGTGCCGGTGTTTGAGGTAGTTAATTTTTAAAAGCTGGTTCATTTTTTAAAGGTTATATTAATTTTTTTCTGTTATTTTTGTCATTATCAAAAGCAAATAGATCTTCTAGAAAAATTGTGGAGGGACTAATGAATTCGATCGACTTTTCATTAAATTTTACAGTTAATCGTGTGTGATTTTTATTGATGAGAGTTTTTAAAGTTGGCTGTTGAAATTTAAGGGAGGAATTAAAATTGATGCAGGTCTTATCATTAAAATACTCTATTTCATATACCCGGAAAAACAGCACCTAATCGAGAAAACGAAGAAGAAACTGGTTTAGAAGTTCAGGAAGCACTTCCTTTGCCTTCCCTTGTTGGTAAGGTTTTCTTTATATTTTATGCGAAATTTTAAAAATCTTTATAAACTTAAAATTAAGCATGATTTTTTACAGGTGTCCGTTGGGTGCCAGATAGCGATTGTGAGCAGTGCACAGCTTGTAGTGCCCAGTTCACTTTAGTTCGCCGTCGTCATCATTGCCGCAATTGTGGAAGAATATTTTGCTCACGCTGTTCTGCCAATTCTTTACCACTTCCTGAGTTAGGATACGATAGAAAAGTAATCTTTATTGCTACTTTTACCTTCTTTTTTGCAAGTTATTTCTAAGTTGTCTAAATTGTTTACATTTTTTAGAATTTTTTTTAAATTTTCAGACTATTTTCGTTTTAAATTTTTCGTTATTCATTAAATCTCCTTTGTTTTTAAAATTAAGAAAAATCGAAAATCAGTGCTCGTTAATCCTAGAGGATTCAGTGTCAGGTGATTTGCATCTTAATCTACAAGGAATAGAGTAGAAAAAAAAATTGGTGGTAGTGGTAGGAAAGTAGACTCACTACATCTTGTTGGGGTGCTATTAATTCAATTAAAAAATCTGTTTAATACCTGGCTACTGTAAAAACGTTCAATGATTCAAAAAGAAATTATAAATGCATTTTGTGTTTATTTTTCGTAATCACGTAATTGGGGCGTATTGCAAATGGGTTTGATGCAGTATTATAAATCCTCTTAGTTTTATTGGTCGTTTATAATAATAAATTATTTTATTTATTGCAGGTTCGCGTATGTAATCTTTGTTTCTTGTATAAAATTAATCCATTTTCACCTTGTGTTGATCAACCGAATTCTTCACGAAATCATTGAAGTAGTATATTTAATTGCAGTTTTGCATCTAAAGGTATGACCTTTGCTTATTAAATTAAAAAATAAGCTTTGTAAAATGTGAAATTTATTTTAAAAAATTCATTCTCTCAGTTAGTGCGTTTGAAGTCTTTAGCAACATTATTTTGTTATAGATGAGCAAGAAATGGTAATCTACGTAAGCGAGAAGGAGATGAATCAGGAAAGAATAAATCGCAACAATAACCACAGCTTATCAGTTTCTTAATTTTTGGAAATATTTGTAATGTTTTGTTAATTTCAAGCTTTCTACAGCATTATGAAAATTTTTAAATTTTAAGCAGCTTTTGATGGTTTTGGAAGGGAGCAGTTTCTTGTGCTAATTAAGTTTAAATGAAGTAGACTCAAAATAAAGTTATTTTTAAATTTAATGGTGCAATATTTTATTAAATAAGCTAATTTTGTATTATATTTAAAATTAGAAATGCTTTAATGAGAACGTTTACTTCATGCTACGTTTTCACTACTTTTTGTCCTTGAAAAAAGCTATCCCAAAAAAAGAGTCTTGCATGCTCGATTTTTAAAAGTTTATTATGAGGTATCATAAGCGCCTTTTCAATCCTTTCTTGTTCCATTTATGTCTACATATAGCTTTAACTTCATCAGAATATTTGCATAAATTTTATGTTAGGTATAGTACTTTTACCATTTAAAACTTGTATTTGTATCACATATCCAATTTCATTTTTCTTCGCCTTATGTAATAAAATATTTTTTTTCTGTTTTATTTGTATCGGGTGCTGTTGTAACAATCTTCAAATTTTCATGTTGGTACAAATGTGGTGGTATTTCCTACAAGATTATCATTTTCACTATCTTTGCTCCTGTTTTTGCCTTTGTCACATTTTTTTAAATATTTATGATGGAATTTTCATAGTTTAATACATTCCCGAAGATGTAGAAATCAATCATACATGTTTTGCTATGAAACTATGTAACTGTATAAAGTTAAGCTGTACCAAGTGTCTTGAATTTTTTCCATTGCTGTTTCTTGTCGGTGAAAACATTTATAGAATTAATCTATTTTTAATGTGTCGTATAAATAAGCTTTTTATTTTTTAAAATGCTATGTCGTTTATATTGAAGCCAACATATCATGCTTGCAAAGAATGAACTCTCTTAGAGTTGTCTGAATCATCTGCAAAATCTCGAGTAGGGAAATGGCAATTATCAGATTAGTTAACCTTGGTGTTACTGTTGTATAGCTCTTCAAATCTTTAAATTATATTTCTGGTTCAATTCAGTTTTGCTCAATATAATGCGTCTCCAGTCTTGAAAAGTGAGGATTGGGCTTGTTAGTTGTCTTAGTTTTGGCTGGAAAAGGCTCACTGATATAGAATAATATTAGGGAGTACCTCATAAACGAGTATAAGAGCAGAACTGTATATGTACCTACATCTTTTCATGAATTTAAGGTGACATTACGAAGCATTTTTCATCAGTACTTAAACTATTTCTAACTGATCTATTACAGAGTTTATGAAGAACTAGCTATAACGATTTGCCTACTGTTTGTGAGTTTTCGAAGTCTGGGTCTGAAGGTATGGTCACCGTGTTAGAGTGATGGAATTTAAAGAAAAGACTTGCATGAGTGATTTGGGAGTAATCATCTATCTTATTTCCAGAAGCTAGTTCAACATGCTAGTCTCATTTGATTGATTATCTTAGAGTAATTCTGAACTTCCTGCTACCAGTTTACTCGTGCGAGAAAGAGTGTCTTGTTTTACTTTAGTTAATCACTATTAATGTAAGACTAGTTGGGTGATTGGCTCAAAATTACCGTGTTTCGTTGAGTCATTAGGTTCTGTGGTTTACAATTACTACAATGCATCGGTGTTAGGATGTTGATTCAGTCAATACCAGAGCAGTTTGTTCACATATAATTTTAAAAATTGTTGGAGAAGGTTTTTGAGATTTTCTTCTCTCTCGATTCAATGAACATAGCTTAGAATTGCAGTGAATGCTTAAAATTCTTTTTTCTTTTAATGTAGAAGTTTGTAGCTGTCGTCGTTACATTTGTGTGTGAGAAAAATTAGATAAAATTTTTGTTCAAAATGAGACTTCTCACATTAGTATGGATATATCTGTATCATTTTTTAAATTTTGTCGTAATGTGTAGATGTTGGTCACTGATTACGGTATTTCTGATATGAACTTTCTGGTATGTGTATTATTTTTATGCTCTACTTTACATCATTCAGAAAATAATTACTGCTTAAAAACGATGCAATAAGAGTAAGAATTAACAAATTATTGTATAATACTTGTAACTACAATAATTTTCATTATTATGAGACAAAAATGAAAAAGATTTAATTGTAGCGTGACAAGAACGATAATAAGAAGTAAGAATTTGTGATCATAAGTTATGTCCATACCCAAATTATAAAGTTTATATCGCAAATATGTCATTGTTTATTGAAAAAAAGTAACTTGAAGTATGAAAATATTCTTTTGCCTTTCTTTACCAATAATGACATAATTAAGAGAATATTACTGAGTACACAACTGCAATTACAGTTTCTGTCATTCATGAAATGGTAAGGATGGACAAAAGATTATTTTCATATTTTCTACAAACAGTAGCACTGATTTGAAATTGGTTGCACACTACATTGAGCACCATGCACGATAAGATATGAATGTTGTTTGGTTTTTTGCTCGAAGACAAGTATGATTTGGTGTTCTTGTTTGTATTCACATGTGCGCAGAAGCGAAAGTTGAAATTAATGGCCAGAATTACTACAGTATGTATAATTTCAGATAAAATAGTTCATTTGTGTTTATTCGTCGTATTGTTTATGTGTTATAGTTATAAATATTGTGAATAATGTCTGTTTATCTAATGAAAAGAGTAAAGTAAATGAATTAAAGAAAATACCAGGCAGTGTGTAAACAATGACGTGATAAGAAGAGTGATAATAATAGTAGTAATGATAGTGATAATGATGAAGTATGAAAATGATTGGAATCAATTCGATCGAATGACGTCTGCAATCGGAAAGAAGATTGTGTTAAAAGTACTTTCTACTAAGAAGAAAGTAATCGCGCAAGCGTTCTTAAGAGTTCGAAAGTATGACTGATTGGAGGGAAAAGAGTAAGACGAAGTAAACTTGTACTTTTTTGGTAATATCCTTGGACTGTTATCGCTTGCGTGAAAAAAAATCTATTGCTTGCAAAACCATACGTCTGGTACCCATTGAATCTCATTTCTACGTTTGTTCAGCTCTTCTAAGATACTGAAATTATTCGTAGTCTCATGATAATACTACTATACTTTCAATAATAACAATGTTTTATAAGCATTTGCTGAAATTGAAAGCAATTTTTACTAGAACAGCTTGCAATTCAAATTTTTCAAAACAATTATCTCACACAAATAATGAGTAAATTGTTAGTTTTAAGCGTTAATTAAGCGTTAGTTAGTTGTAATTAAGTAAACGTTATTCGATTCAAATTAATTTCATTTTGTTACATACAAACTTATCCTACCACAATGCAGTAAAATAGATCTATTCTTTCTTCGCACATATCTGCACGCTAATTTGTAATTAATTAATTAAATAATTATTAAATAATAAAAAGTTTTGTAAATAAATAACTGTATAGAGTAGTAGTAACCTGTTGAAAGTATCTTTCACATTTCTATTCACTAAAATAAGGTCAAATCTGTCAGCATAAACACTTTCCATCAGTTCACTATTTTCCTGACTGTAAGCCTTCAACTGTTCTTTGGTGTAAGGCTTTAGACGATATTTATTTGTTTCTTGTAATTCGCTCATTTCTGGCAGTGCAATGAACACAACAAATGGCATAAATTCGCCATTGTACAAATATTGTAATGCTCGGGGTGCGCAGTCCAACACACAGATACGACCACTCCGAATGCAACTACGAATTGTTTCCAAACTGAAATAAAGTAGTTTGTAAATAATTAATTAAATTAATTAAATAATTAATTAATCAATTAAGTATCATAAATTGCTGAATACTTTCTCTAAATATTAATATCACAGATTTGTACTTTTTGATAATGCCCCTGTGATTAAGTTTAATCAACTAATTTTAGCATTCATTTTTTGAGCATTTCAAAGTTGTCTGATCGATATTTGCACAATTTTTAAGTGATTTAAACTATAATAAAGTGAATATTATGCAGAATAAACACATATATATATATATATATATATATA